CCGGCCGAGGGCCAGCCAGCCATTGAGAAGCCGAGATGGCTCTGACTGACCACAGTCATCACTGGCTGGGTTTTAAAAGGGGGCTTTGCAGCGGCCATGTTGGAGTTACCTCGTGGCAGTGGCCTGGGGAGGTGTCCCCCTTGGTCTAGGGCATCTCTAGACAAGGTCGACCAGGTGAGCATGGGAACCCCCACCTGGTAAAGGTACCCCCTGGCAAGGTTAAAAGGGAGAACGGGAATCCCCCCTTTTTATGGTACCTTTGTGAGAACAATCAAGACGAGAACGGGAACCCCCGGCTTGATTGAGGTGAGTGGATGATAATCTCGATTATCATTCTTTTGTCAAGGGCTAGTGCGTGAGCTTGATCTTTGTCTCAAGCGATACCGAACCTTTAAATTGGTGGGGAGCTTATATCCTGTAAACAAATTTAAGTTTAACTATACACGTGAATTTATTTTTCGGATATGGGCGCGCTCCTCACCTCCTTCTTTACACCCTTTCAGGATACAACAACTGGGATAACTGGACACAAGTCCAAAAAACTACTGAAGCATTTTACATACAATATATACATGGACAGCACATTCTGCAGCTTTCTGAGGCTGGGACAACATAGACAGCTCAAGGAAGAACCACGTTACCAGTGACTAACTCAGACCTTCCTCTATTAGACTGCCTGAAAAAACATTTCCAAGCATTCAAGTCATGACATGATTGTCTGTGATTTGCCTATATTGGGTTCCAACACACAGATTCTCTTGCATATTCTGCAAAACAGTTACTTCCATGGCATCATAGACTGATATTAACTTAGCAAGAGGGATAGCAATGAGGAGTTTTCATACAAAAAGCACATGTAAGTGAAAGTCTATGAGAAGACAGCCCATTCCCTGTGGTATCTGAGAGCTGTGACCCCATATATATCAGTGCTCTTTCACCTTACTTTAAAGTGCTCGAGAGGGATCATGTAGCTGAGAAGGTCCAGACCAGTGCCAAATCTGAAGAGAGATCTGGAACACTAGCACTTGGCCTTTGAGAAACTATTTCCAGGCGCTTCAGTCCCTTAGTGTGTCTGTCATACTCGCACACCCCAGCAGAAGAACAGGATTAGGAGGGAATTCACCTTCTGCTAACTTGTACAGTTCGGTTCCTATCTCATCTGAACTCCTGTGAAGAGATGTTTATATTAAAATTTCTGAGAACACTGAGGTCAAGAACTTGTTCAGTATGCACCCCACTGTTCACCCTAATTTAGAAGCAGATGGCAGTATGCAGACTGACTGGATCGTTTGTAAATCTGGGATGCTTAACTCTGTTTTAGAAGTTTGCAAGTTAACTAACTGTATAAAAATACAGTATAGCTCTGAAATTGCTCTGAAAAGCACTTTTGCAAACTTTATCTGTACAGACTGGCAATAACATTACCAGATAACATAATACATATTTAAAATAAAAAAGGAACTCTTTTCATAAGTCTGAACACTAAAGTCTAAATAGCTTCTTTAAAACGAAACAGTGTGACCCAGGAAAATGTTGCTTGCATGGTTAAATTATAGCAGCATGGTTACTGGCTTTTCAAGGAAATTCTTGAATTCAGCAAGCCACTGTGCTCCAACTGCTCCATCTACAACACGATGGTCACAGCTGAGGGTAACAGACATCATGCTTGCTACATCAAATCTGAAAGGAAAAAAGAGACAAAAAAAGTTTAACATAATCCTCTGCAAGTCACTGCCACTAACAAAGCAAGAAAGCTTTTCTCAGAGAAGCAGCAATAGCAGTTGGGTGCTTGGTAAGAGATGTTTCTGCCAGCCAACTTCTAAAAAAGATGACATTAGAGAGCAGATCATTTTCATTCATCTTCTACAATTAAGAAATACATTTGATGTTCCCTTTAGAACAGGAAGCTCATCTTTGTTTGTATCACAAGAACAGCCCCACACAATCAGCGAAAAAGAGCCATTTTACCTGGTAACCTCCATTTTCCCCATGTGTCAGTGACAGATACCAAGCACTGTTAACAAGTTTAAATAATCCTAAACATTGTCCTGGGTCTATGCTAGTTCAAGCCCCAAGCAAGGCACTACTATATACAGGACACCTGAATTATAATCTATCCTTAGGTTTTCCCTCAATGCAAATTTAAGCAAGTTGTTAAAGAGGAATAGGTGCCTAAGCTGTTGTGAGATCCCAGATTCTTCCACAGCTTAACTCTACCCCTCAAAGAAGGAAACAGCCTTTCCTTAACTTAATACGCAAAAATAAATGTATGGCAGATCATTCATCGGTCACAGCATTTCTCTAACCCCTGTGTGACCCTTTTATACAAGATCTCACTGTACTTCAAAAGGTACCAAAAGCAGTATGTCAGCTATTAATTTTATTTTGTTGAATTATAACCTAATGGAGGTGTTGGAAAACTAGGCATTATTTCAGTGTTTGAATTCAGAAGCTCAGTATTTGCAGAATCACAAACACTTACCCCTTCTCATTATCAGCTGGCACTAGCCTTTTCTCTGAGGAACCAACTGCAAGGATGCAGGCTTGAGGTGGATTGATTATGGCAGAGAAATTCTTAATCCCATACATTCCTAAATTGGAAACTGTGAAAGTACCACCCTGCAAGGAAAACACAACCGTAGTCAAAGTCACAAAAGCTGCTTGACGTGGAACATAAATGAACATGGCTGAAGCATCAAAAAATAGGCTTTGCTCATTCTGAACAGGGCTTCTGAACAGAAGTCAAGGGCAGCAATGTTTAACAGCACTGAGTTTCTCACCTGGAATTCGTGAGGCTGAAGTTTACCTTCTCGGGCTTTAGTTGCCAAAGAAACCACATCCTTGCTAATGGAAGCCAGGCCCTTTATATGTGCATTAAACACAATAGGGGTTATAAGACCTGCAGGAGTACTAACTGCAACGCTAACATCCACTACATGATTTCTGCAAGACACAAAGGAGATGCCAGTTACTCTAGCAAGATAGCAAAGAAAAAACATTTTCAGAACTGTTCAGACAACTCTAAACATTTTTGCAACAATTATTTCATCTTACACACGAGCCTTAGATGCAAGGCTCGTAGCACTTTAACAGAAGCCCCGCAACCTTTGTGTTACCCCTGTTCCCCTCCCTCCTCAAAATCCCAGCAGAAGCTCCGTTATTTTGCCATCGAGTCTCTGCTGAACAAGCAAAGTTTCTGGCTTCGACCATACCATAAACTTACTGCCTAATAACTGTGTCCATCCATGAAGAATTTGCCTCAGGCACCTTCAAGCATGCCAGAGCAGAGGCTTTGATTATGAAGTCATTTACAGAAAGCTTAATGTTATCCGAGACCTCCTGTAAATAAAGAAATTTGAGATGTCAGTTTCCCTCTTACACCTTGTATTGGGTTGGCTCAGCCGGATT